TCATGGAATTTTACCCAGGGATGCTTAACTTCTGAGTCCATCTCCAGCTCTTTATATTTATTTTTTTAAATTTTGAGACAGGGTCTTGCTAAGTTACATAGGGACTTACTAAGTTGCTGAGGCTGTCTTTGAACTTGTGATCCTCTTTCCTCAGCCTCCCGAGCCACTGGAATTATACATGTGTGCCACAAGCGAGAGCTTYTTTTTATGATCTTATATATTTGTGRTTCTCAAATATCTGGCTGTTCATCTCATTTCCAAGATTTGGAACATTTTCTGTTAGTATCTTCCTGAAGAGGTTGACCTTTCTATTCACCTATATCTCACACCCCAATTCAATTCCAAATATTCTTAAATCTGATCTCATAATGTATCTAAGAGTTCTTTTAAATTATTATCATGGTGACTTATTTTCCTTTCTTTAATACGGTTTGAATGTTYAATGCTGTCCACTTTACCTTCCAGCTTTGAGATGTTGTCTTCAGCATGATCTACTCTCACTCAGTAGTTTTTTTTGTTTTCTTAGAATTTATTGATCATTTTAATAATTATTCTTTTGAATTCTTTATCAGGTACTTCATCCACTTCGATACCTTTGGAGTCAGTTGTTGGTGAATTGTGACCTTTAGAAGTTATAATTTTACCTTGTTTTTTTCATGTTTCTTGTATACCTGTATTGTGTTTTATGCATCTTTTGTGATGAATTTCTTCTCTACTCTTCTATATGGACCTTTTTAGGTCACAGACTTTTCCTATTAAAATGTCCAAGAGTGATCTAGTTTGAGACCCTCTCATAGGTATGGTATCTACAACTTTTGTGTTACTTTTTTTCTGTTTTTGTTGTAAGAGTGGATGTCCATGTATGGGTCCTGAAGGCCCACTTCTAGGTATTCATACCTGAAGCCTCGTMATTAGTTTGTGTTTTTGTTTTTTCTATCCTTTTAAATAAGATATAGCTGAATCTTGAGTGCTTTTAATTTGTGTGTAGAGCAAGATCCAATGTTTTTTTTTTTTTTAGCTGAATTTAGTTCAGAAGCAGAGTCTGTACCCTATGAACTTGTAGTGTTCCTTTTATGATTCCTAAGACCTCACAGAAAAGGGGAAAACCAACAGTATGAACATCCAAAGCAAACAATAAACAGCATTAAAATAAATACCCAACATGTATGGTGACTTCTACAACACTAGCTACCACCAGAACAGCAATGATGAAGCCAGCAGTTGTCAACAGCAAAAACCAGTAACTGTGAACTAAATMTGGTATTAAAGTGAACAGCAGGCTTCAATTCTGTCATCTACAGCAATAATAATTGCAACAACTTGAATGCTGGGGGCAGGAGTTATGTAATACTAATCATTCTGGAAAATGGTGAAAACACACTTCAAAACAAAATTGCACGTGGCTGGACACATTTCCAGGAGAGGATGAAAGCGTTTAATACTACTAGCAATAGCATAAKTCAGATCAACAGGAAAAGTCTGCTCACAAGAATAGGAAACTAGAAAGCATGAGACTTGAACCCCAATACCTACACATTAGTGGAGAACTTCTGCCTGTTATCGCTGAGGGGCTGGACACTCATGTGCTTTATATTCTTCAAGCTTCCCACTCACAGTAGCTACCCAGGAATGACATCACTATCTTTAGTTCTTAGCAAAACTATGAGGTTTACCATAGTAAATACATGCCATAATCATRCAAACCTCACTCCTACCAGAGTTCTTCTCTCAGTCCAGGCTAGTTCTGAAATATAGCTTTTCAGTTTTTTATTATTATTCCTAATAATAATAAATATTATTATTCCTAGAGCTACGTAGTGATACAGAGAAGTTGGGTTCCTCCTGACAAACTCATGCATGCATGGAAATCTGTTTCAGTTCTTTCCCTCCTATTTCCCTTCCTGTCCTCACTTCCCTCTCCCATTCTCTTTCCTCTACTCTACTAGACTTTCTTTTGCTCATCTATTAATTTGTATTTGTGTTATCTTTCTCTTCCCATTCTCTTTATTTTACTCTGGCTTCCACATATGAGAGAAAAATTTAGACTTTCCAATTTCTGAGCTTGGCTAATTTCACTTAGCAAAAATTCTACATTTCTATCCATTTACCAGCAAATGCTATAATTTCATTCATTTTTTTTTGGCTGAGTAGAACTCCATTGCCCGTGTGTGTGTGTGTGTGTGTGTGTGTGTGTATGTATATATGTGTGTGTGTGTGTGTGTATTTATATATATATACCAGTATTTCTTAATCCATTCATCTATCAAGACACATCTGGATGGATTCCATAATTTAGCTGTCATGAATTGTGCTGCTACAAACAGTGATGTGGCTCTGTTGCTGTACTATGTAGATAAACCATACATTTTATATGAGGATCAAATTCTCACTGAAAAGGATACCCACAGTGTAAGAGGGATCTGCATGTTGTCCACAGAGCCACAAGACGACAACATTGTGAACTCTCCTTATTTCCTCCTTTCACTGAGGTCCTAAAAGCATGCCTCTGCTTTCCTCTGGATTTTAAAGTAATGTTTAGTTGCCTTCCAGTTTCCCCACCCCAAAAGCACTGGCAAGGGCTGGAGTGTTGCTGTATTGAAAGAAAGCGTAACTGGCATATGTGTGTTCTGTTTCCAGCATCACAAAAGGGAAAAAAAAACAAACAACACACACACACACACACACACACACACACACACACACTTTTCCCACTGGCAACAGAAGGCCTGTGGATAGCCAGTCGCCAAGGACCTGCTTCTGTCAATCAGAGGAATGCCCTGAATACTGCACATCTGGATGGTCTGGTCAAGGGCAAAGAGCACCAAGAACTCTGGTGCCCTATCACCTCTCCCCAACACACGTGACCATCAGTGGAATATGAAACCATCAATCAGGAAAAGTTGGTATTCAACTGTAGCTATTTCATAATACAATAATGAAGGATTCAGGAGTGAGGTAAATAACAATAAAAGCAAAGTAATTATTCTCCTCTCAGTTAAGTTAGGGCATAAGTTATCATCTTTTTGGTTTGTGTGTGTGGTGTGTGTGTGTGTGTGTGTGTGTGTGTGTGTTTGTGTACATAAATATGTGTTTGTATGTATCTATCTATTTCAAATAGTTTTCCAAGCAATGATCTCTCCTGCATTTGAAGATTAATAAATAGTTGTTGAATTTTTGAAGGTACAACAGATCTATTTCAAATACCTTCTCAACAATTTTGTAGGAAGACAAATGCACACCCAATCCTCTACATGGTATTTAGCCATTTCTAAAACCCCTTGTGCATATTCTCAGACTGTATCCACAGCTAAACTTGCTAGTGCCACCTTCTCATGTGTTGGGCTGAGTTTGAACAATCCAGAATAAACCAGTCCTTTGGGAAACTCTCCTGTTGTGGAGTAGAAGTTAGGGCTGGGAAATCATTAAAAATATAAAGAAATGTAGTCGACCTCTGTCCCAGAGAACTGGAAATAATGTGAGGAAACAGGTTAGTTGARACAATTGCACAGTCTCCTTCTGGACTCCTCAGTCTCAGATTACATTGTGTCACAGAAGTATACATCCTTCAGAGGGAGGAACTAAGAACATATAACCAAGCTGTCTAATCCCAGTGAGAGCCCTCTGTGAAGCAAAACCTCACTCAAGGGGGATTTAGGAAAGTTCTAAGGCAGGTTCTCTGCCTCAAAGTGAGATCAAGAGCTGCCTCCTTTCTGGAGAGAGGAAGTGGGCAGCAGCTCTAAACCCTGGAACATGGCACAACTGCCATGGGCTTGTAGGACTGTGGTACCTACACAGGCTTGTAGGTCATGGTCATGAAAGTGAACAGGCACCTGCTTGCTTCTCATAAATAATCATGTCCTTTCAAGCTGATTGGTGTCATTGCTTCTATCATATCCTTTGCAAAGTCTTCAAGCCTTTCTTGTTTTTTACAGAGAGCAGTGATTCCTGGGCTAAATCATCTGCTATTAAGGTGATCACTTCAGATCAGGCCAATTCATCTGCTCATTGACCGCCTCATCGCTGTAGTTTGAATCGGTTTTAAACAGCTATAGCACAGCACTTATTCTGTGCAATGGACTGACAGTTTATGTTGCCCCAAATGGACATGTTGAAACCTGATCCCCAGTGTGATGGTACCAGGAAGGGAGGCCATGGGAAGTGTTCAGACCATGAGTGTGGAGCCCTCAAGAATGAGATTTAGTGCCCTCCTGAGGGCACTAACTCCTGTACCCAGGAGAACAGAGTTTTTTCCTTCCACCATATGAGGATGTAGCTAGGAGCCACCATCTGTGGATCTGAAGGTGGGCCCCACCAGACACTGCATCTGCCAATGAGTTGATCTTGAACTTCCCGGACTCTAGAACTATGAGAAAGAATTACCTATTGCACAAACAAACCCAGACACTCTATGGTATTTTGTTCTAGCCACCAGAAAGGAAGGACTAAGGTCCCTTGAAATAATTTAAAKTATATTTTYACATGGACAAAATAAGAATTTAGGCTTATCTTATTTGCTCACCAGGAAGACAAAAACCAAAAACATCTTTATTGTCTCCCACAACTATACCAAATGAGTCTAGATTCTTTCTATACGGAGGGAATGARTATAATTTATCTTTCCAGAGAACACTTTCCTATGGGATCCGAGACACTCTGTKTGTATAGAAGTTTATTTATGAATATTATTGTTGCAAGCAGTCTCTTCCAATTGGAAGATTCTAGTTGAGAAATTGTGTCAAATCTTCCTCTTTATGATTGTTGAGCAAATGCTTCGAATTCAGTACTTTCAGTTTCCTCTTCCTAGATTTTTGCATAGTTTGCTTTATTATTTAAAGGTTTCCTCATTGGGCCACTGGAAGAATTGGATTCAGTACTTTCAGTTTCCTATTCCTAGTTTTTTGCATAGTTTGCTTTATTATGTAAACGTTTCCTCATTGGGTCACTGAAAGAAGTCTATAAAGTCCAGGAAGTCAGCGCAGTATATAAGCAAAGTGACAGGTGAAACAGAAGGGGAGGAGCTCATCAGCACTCATCACCTCCTGAAAGCAGCCTTCTTCCCAAAGGATCCTTCTCTAAAGGAGCCTTGCTCAGGTGAGACTGGGACACAGTTTACGAGGTGAATTCATTCTTTCTGAAATAAGCATCTCCCAAGAGAGGCTGCTCCTGAGCCAGATGTGGGATAGGAGCTCACTTATAATCCTGGGGATATCAGGAGGCAGCTGTCCATTAAGTGCCCACTGCTCTTCCTGTGTTGAATCTGACTCCAGCAAAGGTGGAGCCCACAAAGGGAACTGGGAAGGTTTTAAGATTGTCATTTCTTTCTTGACACTTAAATTACCTAATAAAATTCAAATGAAATCTTGCTTTATTGATTATTTTCATAGCTCTAGGTAGATAAAATTTAACAACTTGGAATTTGCCTAAAAAGGCCATTGTCCCAAATTTGGGAACTTTTAAAATCTTGTGCAGACATTTTTTCTGGGCCAGTTTATTAGCTTGGTGGTAATCTCGGTGGGGAATTGTAAGAGGAAATGGGTTCTGATCAGAGAAAAATTAATGGCTTTTTTGTGGTGGGGCTGGGGGGAAGACTTGGGAAGCTAGAGTGATTGATTAAAATGGAACAAGTCAGAAGTAACCAACATTTTCAAGTTAAAGAATGAAAACTCGGGTGCTTATGCTAAATATTTGTTTGTATCTCAAAGAATTTACTCATTTCATTGCGAACTCTTTGAGTAACAGGGATTGTGGTGCTGACAAAAAAAATCAGTAAGTTAATTCATTAATAATGGAAAAAATTTAATTTCTAATATATTCTAGATGTATTAAAATTTATAAATACATTCTAGATATATGTAATTTTTAATACATTCTCAGTGGTAAGATGAAGTGACATTTTTTCCAACTAAATCTTTTTGAAAACTCTGATTTCCCCTCTCCTTTTTTGGTACTGGGGATTGAATCTGGGAAGTTTTACCAGTGAGCTACATCCCCAGTCCTTTTTGACTTTTATTTTGAGACAGTGTCTCACTATGCTTAAAGCTCTGACTTATAGAACCGTGGTGTTTCACATAGTCTAAAAATAAACACATACTGAAAATTAATGAATACACCAACATATGAAGAAGGCCCAAATGAAACAGAAACAGTAATGAGTGAATCTGAGTGTGCTACAAATGAATTGAGCACACCTCAGAAAGTAAAAAGTGGAAGAAATTGTCTAAGCAACTTTGGAATATAGTGTTCTGATCATGTGCATAAGTCTAAAGACAAAAAAAAAAAAGAACTATCTGCTAAAAATGTACTCTAGTTAGTAAATGTATTTTTTTTTGTAGAGTTCTGAATCATCAACTTTAAAATTACTTTCCGTGTGTGCTAGATTGGAGCAAATAGGTAAATTTATTGTGTATAAAGATAAGCAGCCCTCTCATAGTCAGAAAAATGAGTTAAAAATGAAGAAGGGGAAAGGTTGAATGAATTCAGTTCTCTTTCTCTTGGAGAAGAAATCTAAATAAAAACACATTATCCCCACATGAGCTTAAGAACTTAGGCTTCTTTCACCATCCTGAGACAGGAATTTGGGAATAAAGGGTGAGATACCGAGTCTCAAATGAACTACTGAGATGCAAAAAGTGCCCAGGAAAAATCATAACTCCTGAACACATGCCCTTGGCTCATGCCCTTGAGCCCTGCCCTTGTACCAGGAGGGCAGAGAAAACTGGCACAAAYGTATGTAGGTCACTCTGGTTTCAGCTCTAATCCAGTCTCTAGAACTGGGCCTCTAAAAATATTAGCACCCCCACCCACTAAAAATATTAGCACTCCCCTCTGGAGAGAGCCTTCACTCTCCCTTGAATGTGCATTCCTGCCTTTACCCMAAAGGCCTCTCTCTTGAGATTRTCCCCATTCTCCCTTGAATGTGGATCTACACTGGCAGGGACTGAAATAAATAGATAATTTTTTCCCATTTAAAAATGTTTTAAATCCAACAAGATAGTAATTAAAATAATAAATGATAAATTAATAATAGATGTTAAAATATAATAAATACTAGCAAAATAACAATAATAAAAAATGTAAAGGCAAAAGAATTAACTAGTCTTATATTTTTCTTCTCTAGAATTAAATCTTTTTAAGCTTGTGAACAAAATATAAAGTAAAATAAGAGCAGGAGTGAGGGGGAAAGAGAGAAAGAGAGAGAGAGAGAGAGAGAGAGAGAGAGAGAGAGAGAGAGAGAGAGACTTTGATCCATTTGTTGGGTGCCCATATCTCACTTTATATCACCAATCTTTGTGTCTGAGGAAGTTAAGGCCACTTTATTAGGTCAGCAGTTTCAATTCCTTTCAGGATTTTAAAAAAAATATCTGTTTCTGATACTGTTGTGCATACTTGACAGTTATGACAGAATATTCAGCTTTAAATATTGTATGGTTCTATTTTATAAGCTGAGCCCAGGCAGAAATTGGATTTTTTTCTAGCTGCTCTTGCAACTGAGTTGTCCTGGTGATTATATTTATACATGAGATTTCATCAGAATTACTTTTATGTTACTCTGTAGGTCTTATCTAGAGAACTCTGARCCATTATTCAAGCAGTATCTCTTTTCTGTTCCTGTTTACTCAGGATACCAGATGTGGTAGCAGTCAATCTTTGATCTTGCAGATGAATGCAGTGCTTTAGTATGTAGGAAACAAGGGGGAGGCAGGAATCTGAATCTCTGAATGACCATGTGAAGCAAAGCTTCCACTCATGTCTAAGGTGGAAGGGTTAAACATATCTTTCAAGTTGTATCAATACCTCTTTAAGCAATCTGTGTCACCAATGCCATAACCTTATTCTCTGTTTCTTCCTCCTATTAGAAAGAAGGAGCTCCAACACAGCTGAGTACCTAGTAGTCTTGAAAGTCTCTTCCTGTGTGTGCAACAAAGCCCAAGACTGGGGTCCCCAATGATTTTTCTACTTCATCCTCAGTAAGCCTGTTCCACTGGCTGCATTGGACCCAGGCTGTTTCCCAGCCTTTAGCTCCTACCATGGTGGATCTCCTGTTCTAAAATATATTTTCTCCAAAATCGTTTTGCAGAACTCCAATTTTTAGATCCAATAGAAATGTCTCTTCTGTGAAGCCAGCTATAATGCTTACAACTAAAACTATTACTTGGGTAGAGACCACACCTTATTTGAATCAACATTTTAACATCCATTGCTTCTTGCTATATTTTACAATATTTTTTTCCTATCAAGACAGACTGGCTGAAGGAAGAAACTTGTTTTGTTCATCTTTAAGTATTCAATAGCAATAGGTTCCACATTGCTATTGACTGAATGATTATATGTCATCTAAGTTTTGAAGAAAAAAATAGCATTTCCCATTTAAAAATTAAAAAAAAAACAAGTAAAGACAATTGATGAAAATTGACCAACTAATTTCACAAACAATAGTAAATTTTAAYTGGGAAGTTAGGAAGTGCTAGAAATGAGCCATAAAACCACAAGTATTCCAATAAAAACACTATCTATAGCGTTGCATAACATAGTGAAGAAAATGAGGGGTTTTGAAAAATTCACTTTGAAATTTATTCTTGTACTGTATTCAAACAATAGTTGTGAATAACTGTTATTTTAGCAATTTATTTTGATGAAGCTATACAAATGGACATCTAGCTGTTGGTACTTAGTTTCTGTCATGTTATTGTCAAAGATTCCATTCTATTCAAATATGAAAATGGGGTGGATACTCTTGATGACTTTTCTAGCAACATAAAACTTTCTAGGCAAAGAAAAATACCCAATGAAACTAAGTTGACAGCAATTCTAATAACCCAGTGCCTAGTTATATGCATTCAGAAGGCAGCATGTATAGCAAAAGATGTAATGTAATGTAATATATAATCTTATATAATTTGATTACATATGATTTTTTCCTATAGGTTAACATAGTGAAATGATTTAAATTACTACATTGTTTTCTGAATGATTGCTCATACTGAAACTTAAATATGAGAGGAAGTGCCTTAATTAAAGATCAAAAACAAGAAGTAGAGATGATATTTGTAGTATTTGTCAGCATTTTTTTTTTCTGTACTGGAGATTGAGCTCAGGAGCACTTAATCACTGAGACACATTCCCAACCCTTTTTATTTGTTGAGATAGGGTCTCACTAAGTTGCTTAGGGACTTGCTTAATTGCTGAGGCTGACTTCAAACTTGTGATCTTTCTGTGTCAGTCTCCCAAGCCTCTGGGATTACAGATGTGTACCACCACATCTGGTGCATTTGTTAGCTTTTAATTGTTCATGGTTCTGACTCTGTTAATTTTCAAAAGATAATCACTTTTTGTGTGTGTGTGCTAAGAATTGAACCCAGAGCCTAACACTCTAGTCCTCTAACAATGAACCAACACCCACAGCCCCAGTAATCACTTTTKAATTAATATTTTGTCATGTTTACTTAAATAAAACACCCCAAATATATAAATTCCAGGTTCCCATTGTCTAGATTTACTCTAGTGAAAAAATTGGTAGAATAAGCTTGGAAATAATAGGAATGAATTTGGAATGTAAAGTTGGAGACAACATACACATGTATGATTTTAGTCTTAATGAAAAGTGCTGATAACACTAGATAATAATAACAAGAAGAGAGAGAGAGAGAGAGCAAGTGAGCAAGAGATGAACAAGTAAAAATTTAAAATAAACATCAATCCTTACCCTACTAAAAAAGTACCACTGAGGTAGGATGTTGAAATGCTCTAGTCTTTGATCACTGTGGTGACATTCCTGCCTGCTGTTCTATATCTATTGTGGAGATCAAGGATCTCTAGGCCAACTGGGGAGAAGGGACACACCCAGGGTGTTGAAATCAAAGTCCGGGTGTGCAGCAACAGAGGAAGKTTCACTTGGCTTCAGCCATTCACTCCAATTTCCATTTTGGTTAAAATGCAATGAAAAGCCCCCCAAACAGTTGAATCCTTGAAAAAAAAATCACATACTTTTGATTTTGATTCTCTTCACCCTGACCTTAACTAGAGACCAAAATCCAGCATTCTGTAGACAGGTGGCTGTGGAGTAGCTTCCTCCTGCCCATTCTCATTCTCTA